AGGCAGAAGACAGGAAACGTCACCAGCAGCTGAATGAGGAGTTTGGACACACTCATCTGAGCCAACGTAGCTGATTTTGCTCGAAGCAAACGGCGGCACACAAATGGCATGGGTGGGACAGCAGTGCTCTGCAGAGCTAGATGAGGAGAGGAGACGTCTGCAGCTTCATAGCTGAGGTCTTGCTATGAAAGAGTCACGCAGAACAAGGAGAGTCTCATCATCACATGCTCCACCATCGCTAGCAAGAGCGGAAAGGCTTTTTCTCTTCTCTTCTCCACCCTGATCAGAGTGTTTATCGTGGCTTTGCAAAAGGAAGGATATAGACAGAGGCAGGAGATGCCTCCTCAGCCATCCGCATCAGCTCGCTCCAGATCTTCCTCCTGGGCTTGAAGGTGAGAAGCAACAAGTTCAGAGTGACAGCACAGTGAGCAGGGTCTGTATTTGAAAGCACTCCTTCAGATGCAACCCATCAAACAAAGAATAAAGGAAGTTATCTAAACTCACCTGAGGAGCAGGAGAAAAACGCACGAGTGCAAGTCCTAAGAGCAGCTTTAAGGAGGAACAAGTGGGAAAATTACATTTGTAAGCAAAACGTGCCAGGAGAAACTCAGCTTGTCCTTTCCCAGTCCCTGCAAAACCCAAGCTGACAGTGTCTTTTGAGAGCAGCTACAAAGCACAGTGAGGACCGAGGGGTTATTACTGCTGGCACCTTGGTTTGGGTTACAGTAGAGAACACACGTAGTGTCACCCTGATCTTATCCGGCCCCATCTCCAAGCAGCAAACAAAAGGAAGAAGACACAGAATACTTATCACAACACAGATTTAATTTCTTAGGCAGTTATAAAATTACAAAGAGCGACGGGCTAGCAGTGAGAGCCAGACACTTGGTGAGGTGGAATGTTAAGACAGATTTTTTTTTCCCCACTTATTGACATAGATATCAAACAGCGTAAGTGAGCACTGCAGGATGCAGGGGTTTTTTTTTTCCCAGGTGAGGAAGCAAATGCAAGAGCAAACAGATCCAAGTAGACAAAAGGTGAGTTGACACCTCATAGAAACCCAGAGCTGGAAGTTGGGGAAGAGCTCACACTCCTGAGAAACGAGTGGGACACAGGCAGCGGCAGCGCGGGGGGAGTCAGCACACGGATCGCTGCAGCTGCACCGTCAAAGCCACGGCACCAAGACATCTGTCACGAGCACAACTGGAGCTATTTGTAAGCCAGAATAAAAACTTCTTGTCCATTATTTTCAAGGCAGTGTAAGATGAGATTTGCCAATCTGATGTGTGTTAAAAATGAAGGCGTGGTATGGTTAGAAAAACAGGAATTTGCCGAATTCCTTTTGGTCGTGCAACTGGAATCTGAGAGGATTTATTTACGGTCAGAGCCACGCTTGCTTCACTGCAAACCTTTCACGGTGCACCACAGACTCCAGAAAAACAAAAGCCTGCTCTGCACGTGTGTAGAGCACCTTGCTCTCAGATGTTAACAGGTTAAATCCAGGTGACTGTTAGCCAGGACAGCTGGAGCACAGAATAAAACTTCCCAAACCTCTGTAGTGATTCATCCCCACCAATGCTTTGGACAAAGACTCCTGTTGCTCTGCAAACAGCAGCAGAGCATCTGCACACACAAGTAGTACACTGAATAGCTCAGCCACCTACAAGGAAAGAAATTCTACTGGCTTACTCCATGTTGCTTTGGTGCTAGTGCTGTTATTAGAGCCAAGAAAACACAACACGGGGTGTAACAAAGAGTGTTCTGCTGCACAGCTTCTCAGGGCTCTACTCTAAGCTACTCACCGAGCTGGTGGCTCTTCAGTTCATTCCTACCTGTTTACTACTACACATAGGTCAGACGCACGTTTCCTCTGTGGAGACCCCTGTCACTGTATTAAAAAGCCTTCTCAGACATTTGCATTAAAGCAAACTTGAAAAGCCACCACCTCTACCCCCACCCTCTGTAGAAAGAGGTCCAAGAAACCAGGTTACGTAGGACCCGAAGCAGCAAGGTACATGCAGAGATCTGATCCCAGAGGGAGCACACACCGGAACTGAACATGGCCTCAGAAGAAACAGCTTTTACTAACCTCTTTATGCTTTTTCCTTCCTCCTCCTCTGCCAGGCCCAGCCTTTTAACTGTTAAGATTTGTATCTATTGTATTTTGGAAATAGTGACATGAGAAGAGTCCAGAGCAGATAAAAGCTTTCTGCCTCAGAACTTGAAATACAAACCAGGGTAAACAGATGTCGAGACAGCAGCAGAGTATATACACTGGCAACCCATTTGCACATCAAGAGAAACAGCTCCTTCCCTACTCACTGGGAACAGATCCCACTGCAATCTAAGACCTGAGTTTAGGATTCCAAGTATCTAAGTGTTCCCCCCTCCCCAGCTTTGGTTGTTTCAGTTGTCTATCTCTGTCCCCAACCCTCTACCGAGTTAAAAAGCTATTGAGAAGCACAGTCTGTACCTAGAGAGAGACACACACTGTCACAGAACAAACACTGGCCTTCCAAGGAAGGTCAGTCTAAAACAAGAGGGGCTATATAGGTGTTCTCACATCGTATGACAACAAGTTCACGGCCACAAGACAGGGCTAGAGCCTCCCTGGCTCACCCTGGGGAATCCAGGGCTGTTGGACCCTCAGAACAGAAATGTTTCGATGCCACCTAACCTAACAGTGCTGTCATACACTCCATACTCAGGTGAGGATGCAGCTGCAAACAGCATTTCTGCTAAGAGATAAAATAAAATAAATCTTTGTGTCATTGGGATGAAATCCCAACCTGAAAGGCTTCTAACTTTGGTAGTACACCACAACAGGGTGGTTACTGAGGGCCTAAGGCCATCAGAAGAAATGGTATTAGGCATATTTTATCTGAGAAAAAGTTTATATTCTCATGCAATGAACCTAAGACAAACTACTGTCACCACCCTTAAATATGTCAGTGGGACCAGAAAACAACCAGCTCCAGCCTACTAGCTCCATGCTGGTCACTAACTACAGAATATTAATACTTTTGCTCTCTAAAAAAGACTTTCCCAGTTACAACAATAACAAAAAGATAGATAATTTAACTGGTTTCCAGTTTCTACTTAAGAATGAACCAAGCAGGGCATAGCAATTCGGGTCAGTGCGTGGGTCAGGAGCAGGAGCTTACTACAGCATATGGAAGACACAAACACAGCAAGTATGGGCTCTCCAACTCACCTGTGGAAGATAAGGTGTAACAGTTAAAGAGGGGGATAAAATTAAATATAATAAATGTCCTCAATTTTTAACAGGAAAATAATTACATTAAGGAGTATATCTTACTATGCAAGATGGCTTTTGTTACACTCACGAGTTGTAAAACTTGCTTGCTTAGCAGACCCGTGTTGCTTATGCATATTTGCTGCTAAATCAACTTGTGGAGTCTACACCAAACCTCCAAATATGTTATCAGGAAGGTTCCCAGCTTTAGTCTGGAACAAGCAGACATCTGACAGCTCCTGTGCGGTTCAGTCTGCCAGCAAAGCTCACTGAGCTTCTATTTACTTTTAAGACTTGTATTTTACTCTGCAGATATGAGCTTCACAGCAAAGCAGACAGCACTTGCAGTAAAGAAAAAATAACTCCTGACCATGGAATTTAGTTATCAGCCAGAGCTTAAAGTCAAGAGACTAAGTGAGATTTCAGCACGGCTCAGTGGTTTGCTCTGAATGTGCTGGGTTCTGGAGAGGACACCACAAGCTGCTCCAGCTAACTACTTAGAACAATCAAAGGTTTCAGTGAATGAACAAGCCTGATCCCTTCTCTTCCACATGTGCTTGTCTAAGAAGCATCTTCCACGTACATGGACTAGCAGTAGCTTCTTCACTGATACAGGCAGATCTGTTGGCAGGGGCTATCACCCCTGGTAAGCCCACCTGCCCACACAGGGCTTTGGGGACAAAGACCACCGCCTGCTATCGCTTGAGAAGACTTGTTAACAGTACCAAATCCTAAAAGCTCATCACTGCCTAGTTGTGGTAGGGAGTTCACACGTAGCTGGAATACTCAGCTTCTGCTCTCCTCTCAAGATCTGCAATTTCCTTGTCTGTTTTTATTTTTATTTCTTTGCAAGCAGCCAGTAGAGGGAAAGGAAGCAACCCACATTGCTATGGAGAAGGCAAAGCGGGCTCTTTTTGGCAAAGGAAAGTAATACTCACCAAGTACTTTGCTAATCACTCGTTCACTAACTGTTATCCAAGACTTAAGAGAAGGCACATTACAACCCTAAAAATAGTCTGCAGCACTGCTCAGCCTTGGAAAGCCCTAGCCAGGGTCATGGCAGTTAAAGATTTATTCCAAAACTGCCAAAGAGACAACCAGTCCTTGGAGTGTATCACAAGAGTTACTCTGATGAAAGGGGAAATTAAAAAAAACCAAAACCAACCAACCAAAAAAAGCACTGTTATCTAGCAAAAGAGAACCCAGCAGGAAATTAATCTTTCAAAATCACTTATATTTACATGAGTATCTGGAAAAAAAATAATCATGAACCTTCACTATTAGAGCAGTACACTTTGCCACAGACTGAAGAGAAGCAAGAATTGAGAGCTATGCCTTCCAGGTGAAAACCTTAAGGCTGTTTAAAGAGTGGGGCTGCCACACTCTACAGGGACTTCCATCCAGCCTGACAGAATCCTTGCTTTGGATAATTTAAAGTATATAAAAAAAAAAGTTATTGCTACTCTGCCAAGGAAATAAGTCAATCTATGGAAGAGAAAGAAAGTGCATTTCAAGTCTTCTCTGAAAAAAAAACCCCAACAAACCACTAGCTTATCAGCCACTATGGGCTGTAGACACCCGAGTACTAAAGGTGTACAAACAGTCTCTAGCAATTCCTCCTTCATTTTCTTTCTTCCTGCAGCAATTTCTTTCCTTCCCTGTAAAGGCACTTTCTATATTCTATATCCTTATGCAGGGAAACACTTCCAGGTTTCCATCCCAACAAACAGAACAGTCCCACAAATACACAACATTCAGAAGGAATTTTAATTAACAAAATGGTCCAGGAAAGGGGAGGGAGAACCCAAAAAACCAGGCCATTGCATTTGAAAGGTTGCATGTCAGTCACTAGGTATGCCTGCAAGCCCATGCACAGGAAACCATTTGGACCTTTGTCAGTGCAGAACTAGTCTCAGCTTCCAGAACCACTTTTCTACTCCTTCCTTATATAAGCTAAATATTATATACATATATAAAAAAAATACAAACTTGGGTTTGTTATAAAGTGGCTTCTCTCTCTCTCCCCCTCCTATGCTTGCTTGGCACATGAATGCATGCAAAGCTAGTAGGCTCTGAGGGCTGCACAAACAGCAGGTTTTGGCAACAAAAAAAATAAACACAGCTAAAATAGATAAGCAAGATTAAAAGCCACTGAATTGAAAACCATATATTTTTCCAATTGTATAGAATTAGAACTACAGCTACGACTTAAAACTGTAAGAGTCTGTCATCCTCTCTCCCAACTCATGTCAAAGTTCATAGCAGCATAACACGAGATTCCTCAAGAAACATCAAGCCAGTGTTCTCTGCTTCAGGAGTGAGTTCACAGGTCAAAGTTTAGTCTGTCCGAAGGATCATGGGAGGATGCTCACTGTCTTCATCCAATCTAAGTGAGTTGGTTTCATCTTCCAGGCATACTCCACCCACAGCACCCAGGTCATCCGTATAGGCTGGAGAGAAAGGAACAAGTAGTTGGAAGATCAGCAGCACAAACTAAGGCTTGGATTCAAAGTCAACGATGACAGCTGGAGTACCAGACATTACTTGCAACAGTTTCACTGCCACCCTATGTTTTCTTTTATCACGACTGTGTATCTCCAAGCCAAGAGCAGTTTATTATCAAAATTAAACTACTCTGTGTATGCAATGAGTATTCCTGCTTTGGGCAGGCTGATGTTTTTCTTAATCTCCACCCACGCATTACAGCTGCAACTGCAGTATTGATGCTATACATGGACACTGCCCTCCCTCTGCAGTCGAAGCACTGACCTGAGGGCCATACAAAGATGGTACAAGCTCCATTTGGAGAGCTGCAGCATTAACCAAACTCTCATCCTTTCAACTTAACAGAGCAGCAAATCAGACTAAAATGTCACCATTCCCATAAAGGAATGATAGGGGCACTTATCAACCTTGTTAAAATAAAAAGGGGGGGATGGGTGGGCTGTAATTCAGATGCTTTGCATGAGATCTGGATGCAGAACTAATAATTGTGTTAGAGCATCTCAAGAACCAATTGGCAAGTACTGCAACTACGACTACAGTAATCAACCCCAATTTGAGTCAAAGTTCTACCCAGAAAGTAGCAAAGATGAGTGATCCATCTACAGGAGGCTACGGTACATCACAAGTGCTCTTTCCAAAAAAGCTCACCAATGCTCCACATCACACGTGCAGTTATGAAAAGCTTGGTGTTGAAGTAGATGAGCTGACGCAGCCATCTAGAATGAAGCAATACACAGAGGTGCTCTCTGCCCCATTTTCAGCCTTCTCCTTACCATGCCTTGTGGGTGAGGAAGGCACATATGTACCTTTAGTCACAGCGGCACTGTATGTCTGCGCTACCAACGGCCGGTCATGGGATGCAGACTCTAGAATTTCGTTGGCTGGCTCCATACTGCCATCAAGCCTACCAAGCAGAGAGAGGTTAGCTGGAGAGGAGATCTACCTGAGCATGATACAGCTTGAGTTGACAGCTACACAAGAATATCTCATGAGACGTGCAAGAATAATAAGTATACACAAGCAACAGGAGGAACTTGGTCCCTCCAAGCCTGATAATACATCATATTTAACACTGAAGACACATCAGTGACATGTTTGCCTCTGACACGTCATCAGGATCTAGATCCTAGTAGCTGGTGCTAGGAAAAAGAGACTCAAACCAAGAGTGCATGATTAAAAAAAATAGCAGCCATGCAGATCAGCAATATTACAGATTGTCTTGAGCTCTGTCCACAACAGAAGTGGTTGCTTCATACATGTGTACTAGAAAAACCTTTAGCGAGGTACCAGAGCATTTCAGAGAGTAACTTGATAAAAGCTTCCCTCTATGATACTTAATCTACAAGTGATATCTGAGGTCATACCTTAAAACATTCAAATACATGATTTTTTGATCAGTATTATAATGGACCAAAGCTGCAAATCTGAATGATCATCATGAGTTACTGGCTTTAATTCTACAACTGATCATGTAAGTAATCCAACTATATTACTCCAGCTTTTCCTGCCAAATCTTACTAAGAAATAACAATGCCTTGTCATATTTTCCTGAAGTGTTCTGTAGTACTGCTACAGAACATTAGTTGGCTGGCCTGAAGTGTTCTGTAGTACTGCTACAGAACATTAGTTGGCTGGCCTATATGCAAGGAAGTTCAGTAAGGACACTGGAAGAAAATACAGATAATTTTGTAGGCCAGATTCCTCTCTGAAGCAACAGAGTAACATCTCATTCTCCTCTCTGTAACTGCTTTATTTATTGATGAAGAGGATGGTGTCAGACGTTTCAAGTTCTTGTTTAAGTAACTCAACACAAACGGCCAAGTAAGAGGAAACAGGATCACACAGTTAACAGTGATTGATCCTTCACTGCAATCGGACAGTGTTAATTTACTCCTGGTAAAGTGGTGCTTAGTGTAGCAGATACCAAGAAGGAAGGCACAGGGGGATTCTGAAGTTACACATTCACGTCAGAGGTCTGGAAAAAGATTAAAGAAATGAGCTGTTCTAAGTTAAGACTTTTGCAGAACAGAACTAAGTTTAAGGACAAACTGGATTTTGTGAAGAAATAAAATATGACAGTCCTGAGGTAACGTGGGCTTACTTGTGCTGCTTCATTAGTGTGCACTCTCCTCCTTCTTGGGGGTCTAGGTTGTACATGTAGAGATACCCATCAGCAGCTCCCACCAGTAAACGAGGGATCTTCTGGATTCTAGAAAGGTTTAGGGGAGAGCAACAGATTAATAAGAACTTAAGTTTTGTATCAGCACACTCTCCTCCCCTCCCGTGATTCTGAGGCATTTTCCACACTGTTGCTTCTAGACAGGGAACACTGTTAACAGTTAGAGCACCTAGGAAAGAACTGTGTGTAAAAAAAATAAGGCACAACCACATTTTGGGGCTAATGGGATGCCACAGGAATGAAGGAACTTCTGAATCTGTTTTACTGGTCATATATAAGTTGCCATCCTGTTATCAAGCTTTGTGCAACTCCACAGACAAATATTCTAACGGGAAGTATTTACTTATTTCAGAAATGTTACAAAGCTTAATTACTGCTTAAAGGGTGCTTTGAGAGTACAGACATAAAGTCAATTTAGCATAAAAAAAACTATAACCCCCCCCAAGTTTACTACCACTCAGCTTATTGCTTTGGTAGCTGTGCCAAGTGGGACCTGCCTTTGGTGAAGACAGAATAAAGATTAGATTTAATCCTCAAAATTAACTTTAATGAATGCTATGCTGTTTTAGAGACAAGAATAACACAAACTTGCTTTCAAAGACTTCTTTAATGGTTACTCTGGATTGCCTAATTTTGCAGTTCACTAACACAACACACAGTATCAGTCCCCTTAGCACTAACAAAAGCAAATGCCATAAACCCATGGGTCTGTTCTCCATATTTTTCTTTCAAAATTAAGAGAAACATAGTGCTTAGGGACATGGTTTAGTCAGGGACCTGTCAGTGTGAGGTTAATGATTGGACTCAATGATCTTAAAGGTCTTTTCCAATCGAGGCAATTCTGTGATTTAGGCAACACTTTGAAATAGTCTATTCTCATCCAAATATGATGACTTTCCCTCCTCCCCCCTCACAAGACCGTGTGGTGTTGGCTATAACACACTGCTCTTAAACTGGAAGAGGCTTTGAAATGATTAGAGGTGATCCACTGCTCTGTGAGCTACCTGCTCTGCTGGAGATGAGGTTATGTTTGACAGCATCAGCCTCTCCACAGCCCAACGTGGCAACCCAGTGGGTGATGAATCCAGGCTCAATTTCTCTTACTTACGTGGCAAGTGCACAGATGTTTTTGTGCCCACAGAACGGCAGGCGGACTGTAGCGAAGGCTCTACCCTGGTTGAACATTTCTGTTACTTGAGAGGGCAGATAGCTTGTGGAGGCCATCAGCACTTTTCCAAAGTAACCTGTCCAGGTTGTAGGCTCTTCCTGAGGTCTACAAGGCAGAAGACAAAAAGTGATCGACTTTGCCTTCATACCAGAGAGAAAGGTGCGTAAACACCTCGAAACATCATCTTATTTTTAAAAAATATTAAGCAGTTATTTGTTTCTCTTCAGAAATAACTAACACCCTTGACAACTCTAATCCACTTCGTTTATGCTACAGGGCACGATGTGTCCTGCAATACCCTCAGCCTGTTATTTAATCATGTTTGATTGTAAACTGATACTTCTGCTTACAAAACTGCCATTTCATAAGGTTGATTATACAAGAGCAAGATTTCCTGGAAAGTGCTACACTTCAACATTTTATTCACCTGTTTATCACTAAGCAAATAACTGTTTACAACAACCTCCACAGAAATGTAAGAAAGACTGTCCTCTCAAATCATAAATAGGAACATTTTACAACTTGGTGCCTTTTAAAGCCCTATAGGCAGCTGGAATGCATTGCTGCAATAACTCTTCCCATATGGATGTCAGAAGAGGTGAAACACAAATGTAACTAAAATGTTAAAACTGCTCCACGTTCCTCTGCCAAGGATGGCCAAATTCTCTTTGGCAGAAATACCTTTTCTGATCCCTGGGAGAACAGTACACAGCTCAGCTACAGTTGCTGATTCATAAGTGACTTCTTTACTTTACAGAAGTGTTCTAAAGAAGTCTGTCCTCCTTTTGGAGAGCTCATCCTGTGGAGTATAACCAATTTTAAAGTCCTTCCCTTGAACAATCTAAGGCACCTCTGAAACCTACTTTTCTTTCACAGTCTCAAGTTTGAAGATATGCACCGTCTCTGTGTTACTGGATGCAGACAGAAACATGCCATCCATGCTGAAAGCCAACGAGCAGATGCTCACACACCTAGGGGAAAAAAAAAAAAAAAGGAAAAACAATGAAGCATTATTTTTGACAGTCTAGTACTGTAGCAACTGGTGTAAGAAGAAAGCTGGTGTTAAGTAACTCATGGGAACTGACTTAAATGAGAATATTACTTCTCCATTTTGGTAGGTAGGAGTCTTTCTGCACATTCACCACTAAGGAGTCCCATAATGTTCACACAAGCTGTACTGTGAGAGCTGGGAAGAACTGTGGCTGCACGGTAGACTCACCTGCTCTTCTTCTCCTGTCACTGATTGCAGGCGACTTGCAATTAAGCCAAAGTATTTGGTTTTATTAATAATTAAGCAGATTTCTAGATTTCTCAGTCACCACTGCTTTGCAAATAAGAAAAAAGAACATTTCCATAATAAGTATTTTGAGTTCTCTGGTACCTTCTTTAAGCACTTCCAGAGCAAGATCCCCATTAATGATGTTCAGTTCTGATGTATACCAGATATGAGGGTCAATTAGTAACAATCTGAACTCGGTCTTACCTCAGTGTAAAGTATAGTAGAACTATGAGTTACGACTACCACAAATCACAGTACCATTTCACAGTGGCTATCAATGATCACAGCAGTGGAAGGATTTAGAAGAGAGTGAGAGTATTAGAGGTACTGCCTCCAATTGCCATAAGAATACAATATATCTTACAAAAGGTGACCCACTTTAAACAAGTTCCCTGACCAATACATTTTTAAAAGGCAAGAGGGAGTACAATTCTGACAGGATTGATTTGTAGAACAGTCAAGTCCAAAAGAGTAAAATTGGAAGATATTCAAGCTGGAACTGTTTTAAGCATACAGGCAGGGATGAATGAAGACAAAAACTGGCAAAAATCAGGATGCAGCTCAACTGCAGAACATACTAGAGATCTACTGAAGGGAATGAGCTTCAGATAATTAGCCCAGTTGAACTTTACCTCTTCACTCCCCTTCGGAATTCAAAGAGTTTCTGTCCCTCTGGAATGGAAAACACTCTTATTACTGTCCCCTGCAAAGAAAAAAAAAAACAAACAACAAAACAAAACCAAACATTTTTACACTTCAAGTTCATTCACTGTGCATTAGCCCTAGTGAGCAGAGTACAACTCCAAGGAGCAAACCATTTCACTGTTAACTTATTGCTGTTTATGCACACTGCATAAACACAACTAGCACAAAGTATTTATGGAGCTTGTTCATAGGATGTGTTTGAAGAGTAGAGAAACAACAAGAGGTGGGAGCTACTACTGCAGAGAACAAGCTATGCATCAAGAACAACCCTTTCTATCATATTTGATCACAAAAATGACCACACTAGACAAGTACTACAAGTACAGTCACCGGGATGTCTTTGTGCCTTTATCAGATGCAATCAGTTACACCTTTATATAAGATTATTACTCAAAGGGCAGAGGCTTCAGACTTCCTAATTTATACAATTTAGATGGACAATTTGTCTTCATGTGCCAAAGACTGGCAAGACTCTTCTCTATTCAATCTTTAACTGTCCTGTTTTCATTAAGAAGACAGCATCAAGACAAATAATTTCTAATAAGTATCCTGAACTAAAGGGAAAAACACAGGATCACCCTGATTAAAGACAGATTAAAATGCGTTTATTTAAATAACTTTATTATCCATCATTTCATATCACGGAAATTGTGTCAAATATCATTAACAATTCTTAAATTAGATTTGCCATTACAACTGTAAGCCTTTTTTTGGCACATGGAATTGTGCATGCTTAAATTTACTTAGAACACAAACAAATTTCATCTTTATCACTGTTGGCAAGTCAATAAAAAGCCACCTTACCTTTTCTGATGCAGTGGCAAGTTTAGTGCCACTTGCGTCAAATGCCAAAGCAGCCAAGGGACTATCATGAGCTGGGATCATATTAGCAGCTCTCTGCAGGAGTGAATCAATAAAATACAACCTTAGTACAGTACAAGTTAAAAGCTACATGTTTGCAGCTTAAGGCTGGATATTCAAGAGCATTTAAAGCAAATATGGGTCTTACTTTATGGACAACAGCTTCAGTATTTGTTTCAGCAACTACTAAGTACATAAAATTATCACTGAAGCACAGGCATAAGGAGTACAAGCAGTAGAAGGACACTTAAAAGACAATTCAAACTGAAATTACTTTGCTCCACCCATTTGCCCAACTCTACTCATCAAATCTAATACTAGTGCCTGTATTTTCTTGGCCAGTATTCTGAGAAGACTGGCTATAAGAGATAATGCAAACTGACATGGAGGAACCTAAGTGAGTGCCTGAGCAAGTTAAGTCATTTCCAAAAACTGCATCTCTAGAAGTGGAAGCAGCATTCACAGAGATCCTTACCAGATTGATGGTGTCAAAGACTTGTACTTCTCCAATAGTTGCACTTCCTGGATAGGCCAGGTAGCAGTTATCATTGTTTATTGATAAAGCACATAACCCTAGAAGGGATGAAGAAACAGAATTAGAAAGAGGCAAAGTTCTAAAACTTATGCAGCAAAACTTTCCAGTTCAACATCTGAATATTACAAAGATAACTCAAGTTATCCTTGCGAGGTATCAAAAGAAACAGAGCAAAGAGGAGTAATCTCAGAGTCAACCTGCAACATATTCAACTCTTTAACATAATTTAAAGTTTAATATAAAGTAGAAAAGGAAGCACACCAATAGAGCTACAATAACTTAAGTGTTAACCTGACAAAGCCTTTAACTATACCAAGTGCTGGCAAAATCCAGTTTGTATCTCTATTACTTCTTTCTAACATTTCAATACATCCCCTCTAGGAAACTAAAATACTGGGAAGATGCAGCTTAAGGGAGACCCTGCTATTTGCTCTCAAAAACCTCACCTGGATTGGATAGGTAGGCTCTAAGATAACATTTGTGTATTTAATTGTTACTTTTATTTAAAAGTGGAATTAATTTACATTGACACAGAATTCACTTTTCAGAGCTATGCCAGCTTCTAACAACATACTCACCTGCAGGATTGGGAGGTGTCTCCCTGATTGTATGTAATACCTTCATGTCTCGTATGTTGTGTATATAAAGAGACTCTTCCAGACATACTATCAGCCTCTAGACATGGGAAAGAGGATGAAATGCTCATATCAAAATGAAGTTTATATTAAGTTATTAATCCTAAAGAAAAATTGTATCCAAAAATGCAGTAGGTACCTTCCGATAGAGAAAAGGTTGTACCCACCTGATGGGAAGAAATAAGAGTCTGATAGAAGATACACAAGATACACCTCTTGACAAGGCTTCAACAGCGCAATACTACACTCGGTCACTTGAACTGACCAGTGAACTTGACTTCTCTCAACCACGCTAGTGCAAATTGATTTAAATGAAAATTATTTACATTACTAGTTTAAGTCAACAAGCCAGAAACCTTCATTTAAAAAGCTATTTACTACTTATTCTGTACCTGCCCTTATGGATTTACCCCCCTCAAGAGGCCAATTCACCTGTGGAAATAATTTTCTGCTTTGGTAAACAGAAAAAAAAACCCATACAAGACTTTTTTAACCATTTATAGAGCCTAACAGTTACTCATAATCATTTGAGGGGCTTTTTTAAAAAAACAAACCAAACCAACCAAACAAAAACCAACCAAACTAAGTTCTTCAATATCTCATTTACACTTTCATAGACTACATCTGGATTGCTAACAAGATCTTATTAAATTATTGCTACCTCACTGCCACAAATCAAATTAGCCACTGTTTCCCTTATGATTTTAAACAGGAATCCCATCCTCCCAGACAAAAATCCCCCCTGATTTTTAGGGGCAGGGACTGACACTAAGACTTTCCCCTTCAGATGCCATTCTCTCTACTTTGAATGAACTGCTTGAAAACAGAGAAGTCTGTATTTGCAGAAGAGTCTAATTACTAATGATTTAGTAATACAGCAAACTATGGTTCCAGGTACTTAACTCAGAAATCTCACCAGTTCAGTGATTTTTTTTTTTTAATTTTCTATTTTATTTTGTTTAAAAAGAATTCAGCAAACTATATTTAAAAACATAAAAAGTGAATAGATAGCAACTTTAAGTTTAAGCCTGAACAGAAATTGTCAGTTTCACACAATTTCATATTTAGGATCACAGGATAATCCACATTGGGAGGGACCTCAGGAGGTCTCTAGTCCAACCTCCTACTCAAAGCGTGCCCAGCTTACTCAGGGCATTTTCCTAAGTATGTATATAAACACAGAACCAAAAGTACTTAGCCAAATATAAGAACTGAGATGCCATACAGAAGCTACAGTTGGAAAAGTACAAGTGAATTTCAAATAGCAATTCTGTCCCCAAAGGAAAATACATCAATCAGCAGAGGAAGTGCCAGAGTAAAACCCACAATCCCTTCCCGTGTTTTCACCGAGTCAAAATTCCTACTCACCTGTCTGTTGAGTTTGACAGCCAAGATGGTGTTGGAGTAACTGTAGTTGCAAATCTCTGTCCCCTTCTTAAAGTGACAAACCTTCAGCTTGCGTGGAGCTTTAAGGCTAACTATGGCCACCAGACTACTGGAGAACAGCCTCTCCACAATGCACACATCTTCTGTGTCAGCTGAGGAATCACAGTGAGGGGAGAACAGAGAGGGAGATTTCAGAGAAGAACGATGCACATCAACAGGAAATGCTAAGCAAATACAGTCTAACACCACAAATATTCTGCCACAGCAGCTCAGAGTCAAGGTGGGATGCTGGATAGGTTTTTTAAAACAGAGAATCTACACAGTGAATGCTGATTTACAAAGATTTCCTGCTACTCCTCAGGTGCCGTGCAAATTTACACTCCAGAACAGAGCACCTGCTCCCCCTGCCTGAAATTCAACAGGAAAAAAGTCACAGAGATCTAAAAAAATAGAAAATTGTCAAATTCCAGAATCTTACAATCTTCTCTTCTCTCTGCAGAAATCTAGGAAAGGGAAGGGTTTGGGGGTTTTGAGGTTTTTTGTGTGTGTTTTCTGTTTTTTAAAGCTACACTATGCACGGAAGGGTTTTTGATGGCCAAAAACCCTGGAGTTTCTGTACACCTCTCCATGAAGTGATTACTGTACTCAAAGAAACTGGTAAACTCATTTGCTGTAAGACCACTTCAGCCACTGATCAGATTTTTTGGGGGGGGTTTTGGGGTAGTTTTTTTGGGGGTTTTTTGTTTGTTTTTTTGTTGTTGGGTTTGTTGTTGTTTTTTTTTTTTTTTACATATACCATCTTTCACCTGACAGTCCCTAAAAACAATTCATACAGGAATCACCAAAGCCCAGCACGTATGCACAGCCATAAAACAGCGTTACTTTTGTCACGTGTTCTTCTGTGGAAGCACTGGAGGCAAAGGAGGAACACAAGTCACAATTTAAAACGTGGGGAAGACAGCAGGAGGGAGGAGAGTTCAGGATCTCTGGCAAAGAAGCACTTTCGGAGCATTTGATTATAGCACAGTATTGGATCAAGCTGGTAGGAATCCAAGTCCCACCACCAGTCACCCTGGCATGTGTGTTTCCCCCTCCCATTCCCTGAAGCTCCGCTCCAAAAGCCCCAGAGACACAGCAGACATGGTTTTCACAGCAGGAGAAAGCTGGGAAGAGTTTTACCACACTCTGCAGCTTTCCCACAGCTACCAGCTACATCTGCCCTTCCATTACAGAACTGATTCAAGAGAAGCACTCGAGTCTTTGGCCTTGATCCATCAAAACAACCAAACTTCTCAGAAGTCAGTATCTGGATTAGCTCAATGCTTAACACATTCCAAACTGTAAAACTGCCAGTAAAAAAAAATAGAAAGCTTATTTCTGAAGGCTTCTGTTTTGGCCAAGAGACACATTAAATAATTGGTTGGCACGGTTCTCATCACCAACGACAGGAGTTCCCTGAAAAAAAAGTTCTGTCCAACATTCTCAGCATCACTGTGTGACACGTGTGCTTTGAAAATGCTTTTTCTGGGCAGTTATTTCAATAAAAAGATCAGAAAAATTTTAATGCTCGATATTTCAAGAGAGAAAGAGAGAGAAACAGCCTTCTTACAGAAAAGGAGCAGGTTTATACTAAGCATCTTCAATATTCTTTGCAACATAATTGACTTTTATCTAAATCTCATATTTAATATGGTACTTTTCCAGAGAAGACAAAACAGCTCACAGAGGCTTTGAAAATTCAATTTCCTCACTTTTGCAACAGAGATAATGCATTTTAGCAACGACTTTGTTTTCAAGGAATTGTTCTCCATTTTCCAGATGCCACATACAACACATGAAAAAGAAATACAAAAATCTGCTTCAATAAATTCATGCACAGACTTTCAAATGCAGAGGTCTGTGTTCCTTGAATCGGACTAGGAACATAAAAGATTCTCAAATATCTTACAGTGCAAGTTATCAGCTTTCCATCTAGAGTCTGGAGTCCTTCATAATGATGGCTTCCTTTTTACAAGAGTCAGAAGATCAGCACACAGACCCCCAAAAACACAAGTCTGTCTGCTCCCTGCTCCTGGCCAAGCTCAGCTTCTTTCCCCATTCAGGGGCAGAAAAGGAGCTTCTGGGATTTGTTACTCGCCCAGGCAGGCAGAGAACTGGTATTTCAGAGGAGGAACAGCAGCAGGGATTCAGATGGAAAAAGTGCTGTCCTGTGCTGCACCGATGGGAACTGCAGGCAGCAGGGAAGGCACACAGGGAAAAGCTCTATCAAGAACTAAGCAGTCAGAAAAAACTTTCAACAAGGAAAAGGCTTAAAAGGTACAGACAATCCTTCAGTCTCACCATAAAGACTTGCTATAACACAGACAATTACCTTTAGAGAAAGGCTTTGTGATGGTCTTTTAATTAAATTAACTTGAAAAATACAGGATGCATCTCTGTTCCTTTGTCTTCCCCTAACAGGAAGAAGTGATAAAAATCTCTTCAAAGCTGCCAAGTCATATATGCTTCCTAAGGAGTGTACCCAACTATACTGCACATGCTACATCCAGCTCACCTGAACCAACTGTATGTTTAGAAGCACTAATTAAAACCTATAGCAATGCTGTTAATCAGATTTTTTTCCATGTGTATTTTCTCCTTTACACTACACAAGTCAGCATTACCAGAAACTCAGATTCAAAAATACAATAAGAACAAAAAGAAGAACTGCAAAATGATCCAAGTAGCAGCAGTGATGGGAGAACAAGCAAATACATAACAAGATTACAGTTTCATAAACACACGCATGTAGCATCACAGACAAGAGCTGGTTAGAACCGGCTAGATTATCATCAGCTGGGCTTTTACTCCATTTTTAATCCACAAACATGAAGCATATTATAAGCATTCATTAAGCCTTAAAGCACCTTCCAATCTAATACTTATTTTTACAGGGGGATCAACCGAGCAGGGAGTTAGGAGATTTGTACAGAGTCACAGAAGAAGTCAGTGATGGGAGCAGGAAAAAAAACCTCCCATCCTTTTCAGTCATTCTCCTAAACACAGGACAGCCAGGGTATATTTTGTCATTTACTTTAGACACCTACACAAGAACTGGCAGATTAATCTTACAGAAGAGAGGGAAGGGTCCTTAAAAGCACTCACTCAAAACAATGCAAAGTCTTTTGACCTGCTTAAATTAAACGGAGAGGCAAGAGGCACGTGTCTGGGAGGCCTCAAGATACTTTTCCTTGTGGAAAGGAGGTACCCAATACATAGGAAGCCCTCTGCCCCCCATTCCTGGTTTTAAACAGGCATGATTTGCAAACCCAAGACTGAAAATTATTTAACTGTATACAAAAAACAAAGATCTCAAATATTTAGGGTTGCTGCAGACACTGCACATGCTATGAGCAGAGGCCAAGACAGGCTGGCTTACACAGGTCAAAGCACCACATTTTCTACTAAATGTTCCCTCACATTCTGCTCTCTGTATTTGTGCATTTCACACTCATGGAAGAAAACTTACAATGTCAATCAAACAGGTTAAGCCCATACATGCATCCCAGAACAGTTTGAAGACAAGACTGGAATCAGCAGGTCTAAATTCTAATCCCAGCTGCTTTATCAGTTTATTGCAAGATTTTGAGCAAGGCACGTAATCCAATCTGTACTTTTTCTTTCAAGGACTACCTAGAAGAAGCAGTCCCACAAAGTTCAGTTCAGTCTCTCTATGTTTATTCAGTATCTTGTGTTACAGGAGTCATCTTCAGTGAGTCTCCTGGGGTGATATCAGGCCAGATACCCTAAGTGCCTAACATATTACAGAGGTCAGGTACCTAAACTCAACGGCATAAAATGGAATCCAAGCCACCGATTAACCAGTACAACCAGACCATGACTCAAACTGGCAGATGTAGCTGCAACACAATTTAACCTGACCACAGGTGCCTAATTTGAACCCTACAATTACTTCTCTCTATTGGATGTGTACAGAATCAGGCTGTCACCACAGATAATAGGTGATCTGAATCACACACCATTTTCAAAATTAAAATGCCAGAGGGTCAGGTCACTCAGGGAATGGAGTCTGAAGACAACTCTGCTGTGTAGCATGATACACCAGGATCCCAGTATAAATGCTGACATCATAGCTATTGGTACTATTTGTTCACATGGAGTTTATATGAAAGCAAGGATACTCATGCATAACATTCATAGTTTACTCCTTAGCACCTCAAAAAAGGGAAGTCAATGAACTGCTGACAAAACAGGATACCACTTCTCCTCCAAGCCTCCCTCCATGTCATCTCATACCCTACTCAACTGTGATCAGTACTGAGAAGTTGTGGGAATTTGGATTATTCACTCTTTTGCATGAGTAAACCTGCAGCTACTATGTTTAAAAGTATTTTTCTAACAACAAATACTAGGATTAAAGAAAAAGATAATCCAGGCTCTGTGTTTTGTTCTTTTTTTTTTAAATTTGATAACAATATATTAGTGGTTGTGTGCCCCAATATCCACTATAAAGACCCAAAAGACATTCCCTCACACCAGTGAATTACTTTTCTTATTTTTATGTCCAGTTACTATATAACCTGGCTATTGGACATAAAATTAGAAAGGCAAAGAGTTCCTCTCATAGCTATTACCAAGTTTCACAACATACCAGCTAAATTTAAATACAGAACACTGATATATAGTTTTACCCTGCCAGCAATCAATTATTTTGTATTTGTGTGATATTTCATCATACAGTTAAGGTTCCTCCCATGTCAATTTCAAACCACCTGTGAAAAAATGAAACATGTCTTATTCTTCCCAAATTAAGCCAACTGAGGGGATAAAATAAAATTTAAAAAAAAAAAAAAGAAGATACTCACTGCATTCATAGATCTGCTCTAATTTGTCCACAGAAGAAAGAGAGAAGAATTTGTAGCCTGATTTACTGCCAACTGCAAGGGATCTGAAAAAGAAACAAGCCAGTCAGGAACATAAACTAAATCAGCTGTGAATTACCCTTGGACAGATTCTTACCCTACTCTGAAACTCCAGTTGGGTTAGCTCAGTGAGAAAAGCAATAAAAAGCTTCACTGAAAAGCCATCATAGACACACACAGCTTCTTCAACCCTGGAAAGGCCAAACAGCTTCAGAATTACCCCAGGTGTGTAAATCCTGCTTCAGTTTTATAAAATGAGAGTTCACAGTTTAATGTAAGCCTACTGCCCAATTCATCCTGGTGATTTCTCCACACTAGAGTAGGAGAAAGATGATGACTTGAATAATGTAATGCAAACCAATTACATCATTGCCTCATCATTAGAGGTGACCTCCAAGACCTTTTAAACTGGGATTGTCTGGGGATTTTTAGCTCTTTATACTGTAACCTTCCCCAACCACCCCAAAAGAGCTTTCCTATTAAAAAAGAAGAAATTAAAGACTGTCAACTCTAATTTTCTCTGTTTTTCTTTGATGATACTCTAGCACCTCCGAAGAACATTATTAGGTCTCAGTCTTACAAATACTCATGGCGAATCTTTGATGAGAGGCACCCTCTTAAAAATGCTAGTCACTGATGTTAAACAGATTTTAACAATAGTAGAACATTAAAAAACCTGACTACAAACCCTTCTTTCCCCCATTACTCAATTTTCACACTTAGCTCACAAACCATTTAATTGCTTTTCCAAAGTCAAAGTCAAAGACAGGTCTTAAATTTTAAAATAGAAAAACCTTTAGGCTTGTCCTGCAGGTCTTTACACACGAAGGCAGCAGACAATGGCACGTTCTTATTTTCCCCTCCCCATCTGGAGGATGATTTTATGCCACAGAAAGAGAAAATTAACAGCAAATACAGTTGTGTAGAAGTGTATTAGCACGCTTATGGTTCACATATTTCTTACTGCCAGGACACATGGAGAAAAACTAATTAAATTCCAATAAAATTTATTTGGATATTCCAAATGGTGATGAGTCATTCAATACAAGGCTCGAACCCAACCCTGCCAGTCATCCTGCCAAAATGCCCTTCTGAACTCAGCAAGATGACTCTCTATAATTCAGATTTATTAACACTTAGTTCTGCATTTAGAATACAAGACAGATTCCTAGATTTCTTGCTCTGTTATTTTCCTCTCATGGCTCCAAAGTGAGCCCTTTTTAAACTTCAAGGTCCCCAGAAGCTTAAAAATTGTTCCTCAAATAGCTGACCCTCTGAAATTAAGAGCTATAAAATCAACTTCTGTAGGATGGTATGACCTTCTCTTCTAAAAAAAAAACCCAAAACCAAACCAACCAAACAAACAAAACAAAAAAAAAAAAAAAAAACCCCAAAAAAAACAAAAAAAACCAACCACCCAAAAAAAACCCAAAAAAACCAAAACCCAAAACAAAACAAAAAACCCCTGACACAGTCTGGTTAAGAAATTATATTTGAGAAGGCTTAAACCTTCAAATTAAAATATGCAGGAAAAAGAAGTAAGCCTCCCCAAGATATTAAAAAAAAAGGTGTATTAGGCTTAGAGACAGAGAAGTGACTATAAACCAAAATTTTGTTCCTCTAAGTCACTTTAGAAGCACTGAATTTAATTTTACTTCAGACAAAATCAGTATGTTCAGACTGTATCTGGTTAGTTGCCAAAGATGCTTCAGTGTTTTGCCTCCACTACTTTTGTACAACTCAATGAAAATCCAAATTCTGTGAAAAAATACGAAACTGTAATTTGGAAAAATAAAAAAAAGGTAATGAGTTAGCTTTTCTTAGATCATCTGCTGTTTCCCTCAGAAGAAAATTTAACAAAGGATGACATTAAAACTGTCACTTCACAAAGGTAAACTAACACTCAACTGAGTTAAAAATAAATGGTCACAAGACTCCTTGCAATATAAATGATCTACAAAAGACACAGGATGACTTCCTCATGAAGAATTCCACATGGCAGCAATTTGTGAGTGTATTACCAGGCAGAATCAATTCCTCTGTTGCACTTACAGCTTTAAATACAGAATATTGCTGTATCACTGTTTTACTGACAGGAGCACTGAAACTAGTACGCAAGACCATTTTCCTTATCCTACCGACGATGTATCCCTCATTTAAATAAGCTTCAGACAATGCTGCAAGCGAGCTGTAGACATGATAAAAATCATTAGACTGAGTAGAAGCCTAAATGAAGTAGCACAGAACAGACCTTTCCATCCACGGTAACTACTTTTTGTTATTTCTTTCAGGATCAAGGTGATGAAGTCACAAATCATTTGTTTACACAGAACAGCTCGAGTTAGTATAATTAAACCCATTTCTGCATACAAACAGAACTGCAAAACAACCCATTTTTCTTCTAGAACAATATTCTTGGATTTGGAGGGTTTGGGTTTGTTTTGGGTTTTTTTTTTTAATGTACTCTCAAATTACTTCTTATGAAACTACTGGAAAAAGGCTTTTTATATGTAATAAGAGAACTCACTAGGCTGAGTTATACCAGCATCATCATAATGATTTAAATCCACCATCTTCCCCTGCACCGATATTACACTTAAGCCCTTAAGACACCTGATAGCTATCTAAAGGACCAAATCCCACAAAACAAGTATCTAGCCAAAATTACCTCGGCTCCAAAAAAATGTGCAACCATATGGGGAAGAAATATGATCAATAAGCCATTCAGCTATTGCTCAAATAGACAGTGGCCAACAAGAAGCTCCTTTTACAACGCGGGTGTTACGCTTTATTATCACCAGTTTTTAGAAGCTGATGAGAGACTGAAATGGAAAATAAAATCAATATCCAAAAAAATGGCCTTTTTTTTTTCTAGCATTATGCTACTCACTGGTGTTTTTTTTAGCTCTGTTATATGTAGCCTCTATTACACACCACAGATTGTAGACTTTGAGCTATTTCATCATCAAGGTTGTCAACTCAGTACAAAATTACCAATATAGCCATGATTTATGAAACTGTGTTTACCCACTTTTTTTTCCAAAGATAATACTGTACTCTGATCCAAGACTACATAAATCTTGAGAGTATTTTCAAGAATGGCTGTCATAAATAATTAAAACTAACCTCATCAAGTGAGCAGTGTTAGGAGATATTTCACGCACTCGTTCCAAGATGCTGACGTTCACTGCACTCACCTAGAGTGGGAAATCAGCTGGTTCCATCTCTCTGGTTCTTCAGAAACAAGTTTTTTCAGATGGATTAGAATCGTACAGGTTTCCTTTTGCTTCTTTAATATACATACAGAAGGAAGAAAACCAGTTTTTCCCTTTTTGTATCATAGAGGACTTTAACTATTAATCAGAAAGATCCTACTAAGGGCAGCTCTCTCAGATTAAAATCAATTGAAGTGGCAGTATAAACACAACTCTAAAATTCATTACTATTTTAAAGAACTGGTTAATTAAATCTACTTTCATTATGATACAGTCTCATTATACTAATGCTTTACCTCATTTCAAAACCAATGTAAATTTCCAAAGACAAAACGTTTTGTGAACAAAGGCTTGTGATGAAGAGGGGAAAAAATAATAATAAAAGAAGAATCAATGAAATGACGTAAGAAAATTATTACTAAGGAAACTTGTTTTGCTTTATTTCCCTCCCAAATGTCTGCTGAAACCAGAAGTGTAACATCTTACAGATATGTCTTAAAAGGAAGGTCAAGAATGCTGTTGTTTTGGACAAGAGCTAAATACAGAAACTTATACATACAGATGTATAGCAACGCACTGACAACCCACAGGTCATTTTCCCTTTGTTCTTATATTAAAAGAGAACCAACACAAACTCAAATCTGCCACAGCAAAAGGAGACCACGCTTGCTCATCACTTAACATGCAGCAATAAGCCAGGACAACAGCAAATTCATAATCCAAGTGAACATCCCTACTCTCAGGCCAAATTCCAGCCCAAATGGTCACACACTTGAGGAACTGTCTGGTCCAGACACATCAGGCCGGTCCACCTCAGCTGCCAACTCCACTGCAACAACAGCAAGGGACACAACATCTGACTGCTTCTCTCCTCAGCATGAGAGCTCTGTGATTGCTCTCTCCTTCCTTTTTCTGGGTTAGCTTTAAAGCTGTCTTGGCATAGAGAGCTCTCCCGTGCTCAAGGATGCTGGAGGAATGACACCTGAACCTAGGAGAAACAGGCAGAGGAGTGAGTGCTCAGCACCTAACCCTTGTTCCTCTCACCACAAGCAGTTTCCTACAGAGATCCAAACATGACACGGTAAGGGAACTGGAATACCACTTCTGCAGCATGAAGCATGCTGTACAACTTCAGAGCTATAAGCACTGGCTCAGAACACAGAATGAAACTGGTTTATTTGGGAAAAAAAAGGCAGAATTAAATCAGAAAGAACAGATATAGGGACTGTTAACCCAGGACATGGAACTCCACACATAAATGAAAGCTGAGACTACAGAAGACCTTGCAAATAAGGTTCCATCTTGCAAATAAGGCACAGAGCAGTGTTTTCATTAGCAACCCAAACGCAAGGCTTCCTTTTATCCTTTCAACAGGAGTCTGTTTTCAAAACTACAGCAACTATTTTGTTTCCAAGTATTGCCACCTGATTACTTATTTTTAAAAAGGCAACTAAGATTTCTCCACAGCCTGTCGACTTGCATCATTTCCCAAGTAGGTTCTTTAGGTGCTTTGTTGTTTTCTGGTTGGTTTTTTTTTGTAAATTGAATCTGAAGACCATGTAAATCAAATTTTTAAGTTCTTCCAAAGGCAACTCTCTGAATATTTATGTAACAATTTAAAAACTGGAAGTTTTACCTATTTTATAGAGACATACAAACTTTGAGATCTTGAAGTTATGCTTTGCTTAAAAAGTTACAAACTTCTATTACATTATGCATTTCCCTTACGGGTTTTAAGGCTCATATGAGTTTGTGAGGTGAGTTTAATTTTTCATAAGTGTATCTGCGCTCAGTTTTAGCAGTTCTCC